GTTTGCACCGCATAACCATAAGAATATATGAATGGGAGACCGTCCGTGTCTGGCGAAGTGGTCTGTAGTACCAGGGTGGTCGCAAGTCACGGTGGTCTGGTGTTACATGTTGTACTGTAGTAGCATAGCATTGGGCAATACATCATGTACAGTTAACCCTGTAACTAAAGACCACCGTGACTAGCGACCAGATTGGTACTACAGACCACTTTGCCAGACACGGATGTTCTCCCATCCATAGTATTATGGTTATGAGGTGCAAACCTCTAACTAAGGACCCCCTTACTCTAATGTCCGCTTTTCTCTGGCCCCAAGGGGTGGTCGTTAATCACAGATTATGCTGTATTCTCAGAGCAGTACCTTGAGAGCAGTGGCGGCCAGTCCAGAATTTCGAGCATGAACAGCGGTAAGCTCCAGCTGGAAGAGGTACGCATCTCCCTGCATTGCCACAGGGTGCTCTGGAGCATGGCGAGCGCTCTAGACACGTCACACCAATACACACAACACACCAAAAGAGAGGGTTCTACGCTCTCAGAGCTTCTCTGTGTGTGCCCTGAGTCAGAGACTAATCCTGAAAGCAGCAATGGAACTCTGAAACGACCAAATAGGCAAATGTGTAGGAGTTGAATATGGCCTAATGAATGAAAATGAATGAAAATGAAAACTTTTAAAGGCATACCATGGGCTGATAACCCTAGGGCACCAGAACGTGGTCATGCAGAATGACACCAAACACATATACAGTATACTACACACCTCTCTCACAGTTGGTGCCAGTGAAGCCTGATGCGCACTTGCAGTGATAAGCCCTGTGACCTGCGCTCGCAACTGCTCCATAAACACACTGCCCATGTTCCCCACAGGGCGCTTGACGGCCACATGTCTCATCCTCTCGACCTGCAGAAAATAATTGAAATACTAGTGAGCATGATAATGGCCAGCAGGGTGCTCCGTTCCTAGAAGACTTCTTTATGCTCTGACACAACGTTAGGCACATAGCAAGACGATACACAATCACTTAGTGCACGTTTCACGTTTTGACTGTAACTGGCCGTATTCCTAAACCATCATGTACATTTCAATAGGGGTTGGGTTGATGGCACGAATTTTTGGGTTGGAACTCACTCTACAGCTTTCAATGAGCACTTTCTTTGTTCTAGTCACTGCTATCTTACAACATTGCCCTCTAGGGTGAAATGTTTCTGTGTCGAGTCACTATGACGACTACCAAGATAGAAAAACCATACCAGCACAGCGATTATTTCAGTACAGTTCCATGGAATAAGTTTAATTATTAGAATAATAGCTTGAAGGCCCCCATATGTAGATCTCTGTTTGGACTTGTAATTGGTGACGAGCACACGCCGAATAACTTACTCAGACATTGAATAAAACTCCTTGCTTTAGAAACGCCGCCGAATAGAAACGAGAACAGAACAACCCGCTGGCTGGCCGTGTTTGTTTCGTCCATTGGCGCTGCGTTGCTTTCCAGTACGTCTTGTTTCACTTGGGCCTCGGCATCAGACAGTGTCGGATCATGTAGTTTGATCCACGCGACCATACAGGTTCCTGTGTTGTACAAGTATTTAACGACAGTCCTAGCGATGAATGCGTATAACACAAGGCAACATCGAATGGCTTACAGATTTACAGGGCCTAGGGGAACATCTTGTACCCTCCGCTCCCCTCCATTTTACAGTATAAATACAACGCTTGTAAGCTATAATAGAGAGAGCGAGACTCATCAGTCATCATACAGGTGCCCTCGAAAAGAAACACCACGGTAATGATTTCTTGTCCTTAAAATGCACTTTCCAGAGGAGCTACAGCACAAAGTCCATGCGATTCAATGGAGAGACAGCAGCAATCTGGATCTCTCTTTGTGTAGAACAAGATACACGACAAGTTCACCTTCAAGACTTTCACAGTGAGGTACGGTTTAGGTATACTATAGTTTAATGTACTCACCGCTGCTCGACTCTACGATATTGCTGATAGCAGCGCTTCGTTCCCCACGCAGTTCCGCATACGCCCTTGTTCCAGCCATCGCCAGAAGCAATAGTGATATGAAGCAGTGCGAAAGTATCGCCATTGCTGCAATGATATACTCCTGGCGCTAAAAGTATTGATCTAAACTTCCCCTCGCCCTAGAGAAGGTGTATATAATACCGAACTACGACAATCTATAATCAGCGGAGAACACACTTCGATTACACCTCACTAATCTCGTAGACGACATCTGTAAGTGCGTTCAAAGTTTTCTTCCATCGCAATAAGAAGTGGCTCAAGGCTGAGCAGGATTGCGTTTTGGATCGCTTCATGTGTCCGGCTCGGCTGGTGTTGCGAGCATCACCTGCGGCCTCCATGGCGTTGGCATGATCCGAAGTGTCTAGAAGCCTACCACACATGAGGCCTATGGTCTGGAGTGATTTGCTGTACGTATTATAGATGTATGTATGCCGATCACGCCACGACGCATGCTTGCACTGGCTATAATAGTCATGTGACATACGTGACGGCTGCCACATGGACTGTCGATTGGCCATGTCAGTGACGGCTCTCTGGGAGCTCTATCCGCTTGCGTTTCAGTCGTAACTTGCAGAAAACATTGTGCATTGTACATGTACATATGGGTTTTCACGCTGATCGGGCCAAGAGGATGCATGTTCGGGTTCACCACAAACCGTCTGCCGACCGTACCTTTATTTTCTCGTTGTCCTCCATATGCATTCTATTTTCTGAATTTTGAACCCCATTGCATCGGCAGTGCATTTCGCACGTCAGAGTGCTGAATAAGAGTGCTCACTGATAACCACTCCATACAAACAGCAGATGAACTAGTAAACGTTACGTCACTAGTCATTAATTTACACAAGCCAGGGACTTTTGCACAGGTTGAAATCTATACCTTACCCGTAACCCTGGTCCCCAAGGTATACTACCAACCATCACGCTAATCACTGCAACATTCCTGTCATCCTTCAACCCGTCCCGCAGATCCTTTCTAGCAACACGTCCCTACCAATGCTTCCAGGGGTATCACTTTCTCAATGGGATATGCTTATAACGGTCGCCCAGTGTATACTCTTCCGGACTCAATCTACTTATGATTGTGTATAGCAAGAAACTCGAAGTTGAGACGAATAATTCACGAATTCCACTGGACCTTTTGTGTGTACAGGTGCTCCTAAAGCGGTGGCAGGTGAGTAGATCAGACCCACTAAATTGGTCAGAGACCGACAATCCCATTTGCTGCATCCATGCTTCCCTCGTGCCAGGCCACGAGTTCCCAATTAACTTTTGATAGCATCACGGCTGGAAAAATCCTTCCGCTTCCCAGCAGGACTTGACCCTGGTATCCTCTGTGTCTCACTCTTAGTCTTAGACCATCCCACTATGCTTGAATGCATCCCTATTGAAGATGGCAACAAAGAATTCAGATAACCTTTAGTACAACGAATGATGCGTTGTGCTCTGTACCACTTTTGCTATGTATTCATATCTTAAATGGAGGTAACAATTTTAATAGAGCAATAAAAAGAACCAACTCTGCCGGAACCATCATGCATCAACGAAGTCAATTGTTTTCCATAATCGAATGTGGCAAGTGTGAAGTGAGAGAAACAAACTATGGAAAAAACAGGGGAAGAACTTTACAAAACAATTTCAGCGCAACAACATGCTTCTTTTGTTTACAGAGCACAGGCTTACGCAAACGAATACACACAGCTTCAAGAACCTTCAACTGACGAGGTTACCGTGCACGACACAACACAGAAAAACAAAAATCACCGAACACATCCAAACACTTAGGGTGATAATTACAAATGCAAAAACACAGCCGACTTCTGACGATCATCATCTCCATCCAACTCACCATCACCATCATCCGCAGCACCATCATCTACGTCATCCACCGATCCCTTATCCGTGACAATCTCCGACTCTTCCTCCGCTCCATCCTCCTGCTCGACCTCGGTCACTTCTGCATCCTTTCCATGTTCATTGGACGCCACTGTTTGACTCCTCATTTCATCAGTATGGTAAGTACTTGTGCTTGATGTTATTCAGTCACGATATTCCCACTGATGATCAATGACATGAAAATCGATTTTGGAAAACAATTGACTTCGGTGATGCATGATGGGTACGGCAGAGTTGGTTCTTAAATGGAGGTACATGCATAATATGATGGCTTTGTGTTTCAGACCCTGCATGACACCCCTCTACACCGCAGGTAATGTTGGTCTGATAACCAGATGTGTTCTGGCCATCTGGATACGATCCTGTTGGCCCTATCAGCATGGCAATAATGGAGTGTGGTGGAATGAACATGTATGACACACACAACAGAGGCGAAAGGCTGTGTTAGATACTGCTCTGTACATTCGTACATTGAGCTCTCTACCTCGACCTTCCTAGACCGGTCTTGTTTGTACATGTATGATGTGTAGTCAAGCTATACATAGACGATATCCATCGTGCTTTGGAGCCGAGACATCTGGCCAGCTGAGCTTAATGGGCCCACCACCACACTCCATTATTTACCCAAATGTCTGGAGATGTGTGAATTTTGTAGAGAAGAAAAAGACCCGTTTCGGCCTTTGTGGACTCATCAGCGCAGCACAGAGAAAATGAGACCGAACCTGATAGCCATGAAATATACATGTTCCCAAGCGAGATTTAATCTTGCAGGAGTGCTCCAACTTACAAGTCAGTACGTATAATGTGTATAATGTTTTCTGTAAGTTGAGACTGCAACACAACCTCCTGAACGTGCGCACGATCCGAGAACAAGCGCGGGTTGTGTACAGCACCCTCCGGAAGTGTTCAGTCCAGTTGGATAACATGCGCACGTCTCCGGCGGAAACCCAACATTTTGCCTTGCCATGGTCTGCGTTTGGCGAGCGTACACCATTCACACGACTGCAGCCAAATTTCACATTTAACACTTTAGCAGAACTGACGCTAAGGGATGATTTCTCGAAAATTCTGTAGCAGCATAAGACCACACTTTGTTTCATTAAAACGAATGTAGGTAGATGCCGGTGAAAATTCGCGCTGGTAAGCCACAGTGTTATCAAGGGGAGCTGCTGCTCAAGAAGCCTCCTGGTGACCATACCGTTACCATGAGTCTATAAAAGAGCTCAGGGAATTGCCATTTCACCGCTCCTTCACTGTGAGCTCCAGACTGCTTGCCAAGATGTCAAACGAAAAAGCACTGTCGGATTTGCGCGCCAAACTGGGCAAAAAGTATCTAGACAATGTCTACGTTAAGCTGCTTCAGGATGCCAGAGCGCCAAAGCTGGACGTACGAGACTTGTACGTTAACTTGACCATCGTGCAGCAGCGAGAAGTGAAGAAAGTTTCGAAAACTGCTAACAGTTCGCATAGCGAGGAGGCTCTCTTTCTCCAGTTAGGCAATGCAAAAGATCGTGACGAGCGTGTTGCATTGTCGGACATATTTGCATCAGCCAAGGAATCTAGCTGCTCGTCGTGTCCCGTCCATACCGTCGCTTTAGTAGGTCCAGCAGGAAGTGGTAAAACAATGGCGGTGACTAAGAAGCTACCGTTGCAGTGGATTGATGGAGAGACGCTGAAGAACACCGTTCTGGTGTTCATTATCACCGTGCGTAGCGTTCACGAGCGACTGCGTGGAGTGGCCAAGGATCGGGTGGCCTCCACACGCGCGCAGAGTCTGGAAGAGCTGCTCCGGAGTTCAGCACGAGAACTGGACGATGACGATATTGGAACAGTGATGGAGTTCCTTCGTCATAACGCTGACTGGGAGAAGGTCTTGTTTGTTATTGACGGTAAGAGCAAGTGCGGTATGAAAACACCTTTAGAGGGGCCATTTTCGTCAGGTGTAAATTGGTTTTGTGCTCAGATATCGCAAAGTTTTACTGTTTCTTGCCTTGATGCTATAGTGGACAGTGAAAATTGCTATATCCTCGCGGTGCTGCAGGATACTTTGCCCCATGCTTTAGGCTTAATGAAATTTTTAGAATCCTGTACGTCGCTTAACTCAGCTTGAAAATGCGGGGTGAGACTTATTGACCTTCGCAGTGCTGCGTAAATTGGAGTGGGCACGAGTAAGACAAGGGGTAAATTATTTAGTTTAACCCTCATGTTACTCGTGCCCACTCCTTTCTTGGAGATGTTTTTTATGACTGAAACCTTGAACGATGATTACCTCCCTGATGAAGACCCACGGCCAACAACTTGCGTGTAATATCTATTGAAGTTGCAATGTAAAGGTAAAGACCGTGGTGGTAATTATAAGACATGCATTTTTGAATGTGTTGTTACAGGACACGTGGTTGCTGCTCACGTGCATAATATCATTATTATTTGCCTCTTTCTCCAACTTTCTTTCTGCCTGTAGGCATAGATGAGGGCTGCATCATGGATAGCGTACTCTACAGGCTAATCACAAGAGACCTGGAGGACATCTCACCGTACTATCTACTATTACTCACGGCTAGGCCCTGTCCAACCATACACTGGCTGTGGGAGGTGGGCGACATCGATCGATACCTCTCGCTGCGCGGATTCGACCAGGTGTCGCGCGCGGACTTCTTCGAGCGCTACGGCTCTCTGCACTACGGTCCTGATTGGTCGTCGATGCGTCGCAATCTCACAGTGTTCCTGCGTAAGCTGGACTCATTGCACGTGGGACGCCTCACCTATCTTCCTTTTATGGCCACGTTGTGCGTACACGCCATGCCCAGAGCGGATCCGTCCAGCTTGCCACACTGCGCCACGCAGCTGCTCCAGCTGCTCGTCATGGCGTTGCTGAAACGTGATCTACGCAGTGGTCCGGGTGGCTCGCGACAGTTCTCCCAGTTCGCTCACCTACGCGGTCCACAGCAGGAAGCAATGCAAGAGATGGCTGCATTCGCCTACAGGATGACCGCTGAGAGAGCAATGGTGGTGGAAGATGATGGTGACGACTCGCCATGGAGCGGCCTCGCTGCTGATGTCAGCGAAGAGTTTGAGTCACTGATCTCCTGCCTAACCCTGACATTTGACGAGACGGGCACAGAACAATCACTGACGATGCGGCAGTTCGTTCATCTCACCATTCAAGAACTGCTCTGTGCCTATCATATCGTCCGGCAACTCCAGGAAGAAGACGGCACCACTTCCTTCTGCGAGTGTTTCTCGGCGGTTGTCCGTGCTACGAACTTCGGCGAACAGTTCACACACCTTCTAGTCTATGTGTCTGGCCTGGCACCGCCCGGTCAGCATGCACTAGTCTTGCACACGATCATGACGCTCATATATCGTGAGGATCAGGAACTGCCATCGGTCTTGACACGCAGCAAGCGCACATTGATGCTTTTCAAGATGCTAAGCGAGGCATACCAAGCTACAACAGGCCTGCGACAGGAACACGCTGTGGACATCAAGGAAATGTCATGCTCATCATGGGCAGCCATTGCCACGGCCATTGCCATGTTCGCCTCAAACTGGGTACAAATACCCATGGAGCGTAACTATCAGGAGTCGGACGCTTCCGACGCCATCGTCGCAATTCGTCTGGCCCCTGATCAGTTCACTGGCGTACGTCATATCTTCGCAGGTAGATGTCACTCCGTAACCAGTACCGAGGTATACGATACCCTGTTGCAGTGCCAACGAAATTGCAGCACGCTAACTCTTCGCCTGACGAAAGAGGACGATGATCGTGATGGCCTTCGTACCCTTTCTAGTCTCGTGGCTGGATCGAGATTACTACGTGAGGTAGACATGAAGAGTGACAATCTTCACGCCTTCCGCATGGAATCTCTGGAACGCGTCGCTGCAGCATTCGAATCAACTGAATCGCTGCGCACAATTCGTTTCCAATATGCGCTGCTGGAGGATACCACGCTTCATCGCATCATGACAGCGATCTCGTCGAGCAACAAGCTCCAGAAGTTGTCGATCGGAATTATTAGTGAAAAGCTGTGGTCAACAATGTGCAGTCTAATCAAGGCATGCTCATCTATTACCCATCTGCACGTCGAGATCCTGTGGCGATCGTCGATAAACGTCAGCGCACATAGTCGCAGGCTATGCCAAGCGCTTGAGTGCAACACGTCTCTCAAAGAATTCGCCATTCTGGGCTCTGATCAAAGGAGATCGAAGGACACGAGGCCACTAGCAAATGACCTGGTCTCCGTCTTTGCAGCTCATCCGACGATAGAACTCTTCTGCTTGGGATGCCGCTTCCTCAACTTGCGCAACGATTCCCTCGTGGAGGCCATGGACAGACTAATCACAAGACTGGCATCACAGGAGAAATTCGGCAAGCGCCCTTTTAAGACACTCGTGATAATTCGCAGCGGGAACATCGCAGACGAAGGAATCCGCCGCTGTCTGGAGCTAGTGCAAGCTTCCCCGGGTGTGACACTTCAGGTTGATTCCATGTACGACGGAGGGATATCAGACGAACTGCCCAGCCTGCGTGACAACTTTCCTTTCTTCCTATCAATCAGCAGCATTTGGTGGCGTAAAGATTCTCATCATCCACGATATTCATCGGTATGTACCTCTGTAGTATAGGGCTTCCAAATGCATGATTGATTGAGTTCTTGCAGGGTGTAACTAATACAATACGAATGAAGTTAACGATGACGTAAATATGGTTGTCATGGGCACATTAATATTAAAATGATTACGTTGACATCACCAAACAAGCTTGGCTAGTCTTCGCTTAGACATGTCGTGTGTTTTAGGACAGTTTTGGATATTTTCTGTGTTGCCATTTTCTGCAGTTGCATGCCTATAAGCACCTCACTGACCCCGATCGTTCCTCATTCTTCATCCATTTGGCCTGAGCGAGGACTAGCACATGTATTGGGCGTGTTGATTTCAACCAGGGCTGAATCAATGGGTGAAAGTTAAATCAAATTTCAACGAAGATGCTTTCGATGCTGTTTTTGTTATCATCTGCTGCATAAATGACGTTCATGGCAAGATCACTGCAGAAATGCTAAACTCGTGCCATGCCCTTGCTCTGTTGATCTTGTCTTTCGTCCATTGTCCTTTTGCAGAAAGGTCTGGACGAACTCGCAACCATGCTCGAACCCGAGAGAACACAGAAGGAACACGACGCATCCAATGAAGCCAAGTACGTTATACGCCTCTTTGCTTATCATGCAGTGCTGCATCTGCAAAAGCTCGTCAATGTGTGATATCACCTAGCCGAGCATGGACTATCAATATTTTTCAAAGTTTATACAAAAGAGAAAGACCAAGGAACTACAAGTTACGCTATACTGTCAACTAACACCACCAGTTACTAAACAATCCTTGGTCTTTCTCTTTTTAGCACACGAAGAGACGAAGCTACTTATAAATAACTTATTTTGCGCCTCGGAAATGTGCTGGGTATAGGTATTAGGCGGTTGTTGAATGTCCCCGTACTCAGTGCTCTGTCCGCCTGGTGCCTATCTGTCGCCATTTTGACTGTACATGACCTAATAGTAGTGATGGTCAGCTGTACATAACCCTTAGCCATGCGTTCCTCGCCTCTCTGCTTTTATTGCTACACTTACATTGCACCCAGAAACATTACCATCCCAGGTCAGTTCCTGTAGTTCGTGATCAGCCTCTTTTACGGGCAAAATAAACACAATGAATATTTTTCCCAAGTGTTCCAAAAACTTCAACTCAAAGTTCTAGAAAGAAAAAAGAAGCCCCTGTAGTTCGTTGCTAGTCGCGTGCGGCAATGTAAAAGTAAAAAATATATATAAAACTGGCTCTGATTTCTTTGTTTGTTCTTAATGGTATGTGACATACTACCCAGCGCGAAGACAACAGCTGAGCACCAGGAAGGTGAGAATAGTACGTATAGTAGCTTATGGTTTAACGTACAATACACGGTTCTTTTCTTTACCATGGTATAGCGCCGGAAATGAACATGCCAGCTGTGATGTAAATATTGGCATCCACTTTGCATCAACTACTTCGCAGTAGATAGCTCTGGGTGAGGGATATACATTGGGATTATGTGTACATGTTTGCATGGATTTGAAGGCAACAAAAATTATTTCTTTTCCCCTCTCCAGGCTTCACGCTGCAAATGTATTCCATCAGCGTGACTCGCACTTAGCTTTAACTTAACACACTATTACCCGAGACAATTCCTCCTAATTTACTATGCAATACTTTAGCAGTGCTTCACTCTATATGAGTATATTACCTCGAGGTAACAGTGGTCGAATCATAATCACAATTACCAAATTCACTAGTGGGGAGGGATGGGGGATAAACACACGCCCACACGCTTGTTTTACCGCCAGTTCGCGACGTGTGTCTTAACCCCCACCCCCATATGATTCAATCATAAGTACAGCTCCAGGGATTCCTAATGAACTTCAGGTTAATTCTCCCCAGCTACCATGGCGAGGTAGTTACCATGGCGACGTAGAGACCATAGTGTAGAAATGTTTGCGTTCTCATTGGCTGGTTCTACAGATGACCCCTGGCTACATCCCTACTATCTTGATCACTATCGCGATCGCATTCTCTGCATTGATCCGGAGTTACTGCGCCTCTCCACGCAATCGCAAGGTCTGCTGGACAATAGCCAGTATGTGGACCTTCGCACAGTGCAGTCGGCTGGTGCACTGGTGCACAATCAGAGATGCCTGGAGTACGCACGCACCTTCACGAAGGTAGTTTTTTGTTTTGTTTTTAGGAATGAACTCCTTGAGCCTCTTGCACGGGCAAAATAACACATTTGTGCAGCATCAACACATGAAACTAATCGGAAATAGTAATGATTATACAGCCTCAGCAGGATCACTGCAGGTTCACTGGATGCGTGCCTCAGCCACCACTAGCACTGCAGGGGACTCAGACACGGCAGGAGCAAACACGAAGGTAGTCGATCCTACTGTATTTTTGTAGTAATTCCTCTTACAATGTCTATGCAAAATCAGTTTTACTTAATTAATAATGGTCCGAACCTACAGCCCATTCATTGGAAACTGGCACCCTCACTTTTTGGTGTCTCCCTCGCATAGTTGTAGATATCGTGAAAACAACAGTACATCCTGCATTGTGTGACCCGTGCAATTACTCCTTGCCACATTGTTTAGGCCAGAAAAGTCCAAGAACAGGGAAATAGAAATTCAGCCAGGTTTTACAAAATTAGGACAGGTATGCCATGGCAAAATGAATGGAGAAGCAGATCCAAAACCCAGATTTTTAAGATTTAAAGTGGGTTTTTGATCCTCAATTCGGCCCAAATCCGACTTTCAAAAGCCAGCGGAACAGTTTCCGAACAATGGACTGTAGCAGTGCGAGTATAAGAAAAGAAAATGAATTATTTATTCAAATACTCGTGTCCTGACTACTGTATGTTCTGTAGGTAGTCGATGGTGCCGGTGCAACTGACGGTCATGATGGCCCGGCGAGCGGCAGAATGGAGGCTCTGAGTGAGCCTGCTGAGTCGTTCCAGCGCCTACTCCGTGCACTGGAACACATGGGCTATAGAGCATTACGCGTGGAGATGGAAGAACGCATGTTCAAGTTGCACCCGGACACTGGTGTTCCAACGCTGCAGATGGATGACGCAAACAAACCGGGTATGTACATAATACGTGTACAATCATGTACAGGTTCAGAAAGGCCTGAAAATGACTTAGATACATAACGCTAACTGAATGTGTAGAGACGTTTTCATTGGGTATCATGCTCCTCAACACTCGTCTAGTTGAGCGCTCTCACTAGGCTGCTCTAGTGCTGCTCTATCACGCATTACCCGCTACATTTCGTAGTTAGAGTACTCTGGCGCTAGAGCGACGAGCTACATTGTATCCTAAAATGTCTGTGGCGCCTCCTTTGCACCATGGCTAGTAGCTCGGCTTGCTTAGAGCTTGTAGTTGTACTGATCAGGCCTTTATGGCCGAAACAGCTTGCTCTCTACAGCATTGGGAGACATTTTCTGTGGAGGAGATCATTACGCATTCATGTACGCTCTGACCTTACGTTCATTCAGATCGGACACTTAGTATAGTCTTGCTGGCTTTTTCAAAAAAACTGACTTTGGTCGAATTTAACCACACGTCGAGCTAGCTAAAAAAATGTGGGGTGTGAAATCTGTTTCGCCATGCATTTTGCCGTGGTATACCTGTCCAATGCTAGCATCCCTGTCCTGCGTTTGTTTTCATTGCTTTCCACGCAAAGCGATGATTATAATTATTGCCTGCACGTCTATCCGGGTACACTGACCACCTTCTTTTACGCCAGTTACCCAAATGTGCAGTTTAAAAGACTTTTTCAAGAGCCAATAGATTACTGTAGTCGAGGTAGCCTGTAGCTCAGCCGAGTGACATGGCTTCGACTAATCCTGTGCAAATAGCTGAAATTGGCAATCACTAAGCTAACAATTTGAAACTTCTCGAACTATTGCTATTTCTGTGCTTATCGCTTAGTGGATCCGTGGCAGCATGAAGGCTTCGACATGCGTTTCCACGCCTGGATTCTGTCCCTGCCGTCTGGCACGCTCCGTGCCCACTCGCAAGCCCATGGAATGCTCACATTGTTCATGGTCGCCTCGCTCGTCTCCGTGGAGAGCAGGCGAGGATCGCTGGCTCACAACGACACCTACCTCATCTACATACGACCGAATGGCGTGCAGTCGTTTGTCAAGTTCTTGAACGTCATCCAGGGCAACCCTCTGTACAGGCTCCGAGTGAAGGAGATGAGCTGCTTCTTGCCAGTCGACTTACAAGAGCCATTCCTTGAGGATTCAGGTAGGTATTCCACCGTGTCTGTGTGTGTCTGTGTGTGTATGTGTGTGTGTGTGTGCTTGCGTGTGTGTGTGTGTGTGTGTATGTGTGTGTATGTGTGTGTGTGTGTGTGTGTGTGTGTGTGTGTGTGTGTGTGTGTGTGTGTGTGTGTGTGTGTGTGTGTGTGTGTGTGTGTGTGTGTGTGTGTGTGTGTGTGTGTGTGTGTGTGCATTGCTCTTGCCAATTCTGGTCCTGGTGCTCACTCAGTAACTGTGTACGTACTGCCAGCGTTTGCATATTCATCGCAGGAAATCTTAGAGTACAGTACCGTGAGCTAAGCGAAATCAGATATTGTATATCTAAAGCATTGAAACACGTGAATTCAAATTTGTTTGTCCTTTCCGTCATGATGCAGATAACGAATGAAACGCATGGAGTGTGTTCCAACATGCTTCATCTGAGACAGAAGACGAGCAGATGTTGCTACTGGCCCGCGCCGCAGAACGCGATTCCGAGAGGTCACGTGGTTTCAACGTGTTCACCAGCTGCGCCAATCCCTCAAGGCATAATGTTGCTGTTCGCGGAAGCTGTGCCGATTCCGTGCACAATTATTTGATAACAGTTAGCAGGCAACGAGGTATCAGCACTGCAACGCACCACCTCCTCGATCACTAGGAACGCAATCCAGACGTCTGCTAAAATACCTAGAGAGCCTGATGTACATTGTACATAATAACTGCAGCTAATGCTCATCCATTTTCATGATATCTTCAGAGTTTGGCGGGCGCGTCATCTGTTATCACGTGAACTTTATTCTGCCTAGAATACGAGTATTCAGTATCTTCGTGGCATGACAGTGACAGAACAATTCGATGAACTTGAATTTTGTTGATAATGGTTTCACCGTTCTTGTGTTTCCTGTATCTTTTTTTTACTCTTTTCGGCTAGTGTGGCCAATGGTGTATTCACTTCGTCTTCGTCTCTCTCGTGAGACACAGGAAAGTTGATACTGTTATTGGGGTGTGAGTCCGCCTCTCCTGAATACATCCGTATTGGTTTTTCTTTGCAAGTAAGTAGTAAGCTTTTAGGACAATTCCCTTCTCAACTCCAAACTCCAAAAACGGTCTCGTTACAACCCTCATGATGGGCCAGGCCCGAAAATTTGGCGTAATTTATATGAAAGGTTTGCTCCCCACACCGGAGCTCGCGCTATTCCGCCGACTTTACTTGACACTTGACTGACTCACGACTGCCATCCAGAGCACACGAGAAGTCCATCGAACCTTCGACTCGGCAAACCTGCAAGAAAGCACCACTCCCTGCTCAATACACAGTGTTTCGGGGAATTCACCCCTCATCAGTTGAGCTTGAGTAGGCTGAGGAAGATTGTGCCTTAAGAGCACCACTTATATAGTGCTCTCCAGGCACAAACATCACCAGGGATACAAACTTACAGAGACGCTCCGCTTCCAGCGCGACAAACACCTCGTGAACACCAGATAGTAGCGTGAGTCAGTGTCGCTCCTGGACGGTGAGACAGACGTCGAGGACCCTCGGTCATTCGCAACGCTGTCACCTCCAAACCAACTAGTCGCAAGCCTGCGCTGGGCACAACAGTACGAAGCAGTGGTTGCCACTTCGGCGATGATTTGTAAGAAAGGTTTGCTCCCCACACCGGAGCTCGCGCTATTCCGCCGACTTTACCTGAAACTTGACTGACTCACGACTGCCATCCAGAGCACACGAGAAGTCCATCGAACCTTCGACTCGGCAAACCTGCAAGAAAGCACCACTCCCGCGAATGACGGAGGGTCCTCGACGTCTGTCTCACCGTCCAGGAGCGACACTGTATGGTTGCATGCATGGTGCTTGTTCTTCAGGTTAATTGTCTTGCTCTCTCATTGTTGTACCATGGAAAATAAAGCTGGTTCAGTGGAAAACGGCTTACTTGTATGGAGACGAAAGTTTCTTATCAACCACCACACTACACCGCTGCGCTCTCCGGCCGACCTCGACACGGTGCCACAGCACACCATCAGCAAAAAGACACTTCAGTTGGTACTCTGCTCCTGCAGACAGCAGCTGTTTCGATCCTCAGGATCTCGTCAGTGAAGGTTGATAATGTAGAATGGCTAACAGATAGTGAACTGCGCCCTTTTGTAGCCAAAAGAGGGGGAAACATAATGGTGCATCTTAGGCGCCAAAAGGGGAAACATAATGGCGCATCTTAGGCGCGAAGATTAAGGCTACCCAAAGGTGATACTGATAGACTACACTGAGGATACTAGTAATATAAAGACGAAAGTGATAAAAGAAGAGTAAAACTAGCCGGATTCGCGGCAGCATCACCCGACGTGTTGAGGAACACATCCAGCGGGCCAAACCTTCGCCCATTATATCTCAGTGTCGAATGCATACCTCACAAGTGAGTCAGGGAGGGGGGGGGGGGTACATGCAGGTCTCTCAAACAAGGGGCGTGTAACAGCCCTATAACCCCATAAACTTCATCCTTGTTACCCTCACTCGAACGTGATAAGCATAAGCATAATTATTGGACACGATGCAACAAAGAATTCAAGATGCTGAGTAATAGAATTAGATATCTCACACGTAAGAAGCTATTTTTCACATCGCCCCTTGTCCTCACACCCTCCTTCATCTTCATCCTTCCCAGGTGATAACAAGTGACCATTTCAATCACAAAAGCGAGGTGATAACTACTTTGCCAGGTGGAACCTTCCATCGGCAAATGTCAAGGCACGCCCCTGCGTGGCCGTCCCTTGAAGCTCACCGCACCGACATGCACTTGCCACTTAGCAAAATGGGGGAAAGGTAATACTGATGCCGAGCCGTCACCCACTTGGCACGAGAAGAAGAATTTGAATTGCCACAATTTTGATATGAATGGCACCGATGCTACAATGTACATGTACATGACACATGTCTATTCGACAAACATTCTAGTCGTATGGGCGCCAAATGTGTCATAAGGCAGAAGATGCAAACGAAAAAAAGAGAAAAGACTAACCGCATAGATTAAAACGTTGCCTACACCTATCACCATCAGCAGCAGTGAGAGAGAAAGTACCTGCATTGTATGGTTGATGAGTGATATACCATAAATCGGCGCGAAAAGAGATAGAGGCTCAGAAGATACGAGAGTGGGCGAGGGGAAAGGGAGATGTACTACTAATTATCATAATAATGAAAGACTCAAACCAATCTGGGCCTCACTTTCATCTCGAAGAATGTCAGCCCAGGCAAGGCTCGGGAGAATCGTCTATCATGCAAAACATAGTAACACTGGGCATACCACCATCCAATTTTATGTGAAGTGGCGCAGTTTCTACCAGGAAAGCCATCATTGTCCCGATCATAAGTGGTGAACGGCATTTCGTGATACTCCAGACCTTGTCCCGCTGGAATAGTGAAGGACGACTCTACCGTGGGACTGACTGTTAGACGATATAGTTCTTCTTCGCTTCCAACTCTCATCCAATTGTACTTGACGAAATGAGTAGCAGTTGCTGTAGCGAGATCAATGCGAACTTCGTACTTCTGGCTTTGGGTTAGTTTGTGTATCCGGTCGTTTCCCAGCCAGAATTTCCAATTCAGGTCTCCAAACCCGTTCTTATAGGCTGCCCAATCACGGTTCCAAAAGTTAGAGTCAGTTCCGATCGACCTCAACACAACTAGCCATCCACCACCGTCCACGGACATATTGCAAACAGTTCGGAATGAAGTATTGTCAACGTTGGCAGTCACTACCCGGGTTCTGCTTGTGTCAGCTGAAACCCCGCTCTGCCGTTTGCATCCGCCCAGAGCTGTGATGGGGAAAATACACAAAGATATCAAAAAATCATAAATGCACACTCGCGTGTGGCCAAGTAGTTTGATGCGATACTTTTCTACAATTTGAGCTTTGACCGAACTAACTTCCATCATTCCCAAGCATGCAATTTACTACAATGGGTTGAAACGCTGTCGAAACGCTTTGAAATTGCGTTCGTTCGGCCATTCAACCGGTTTACATATGGTTGCTTGCCCAATCTTTAGCTACGTAGTCGTCTTGAAACTGCAATGTCCTCGTAATGTTTGGGTGACTTGACACCAACCATGTCTACTGCTGACCTCTGTTTTCCAATTCCATGTTCATGTAACACTGTATTTTGATATTCTCCAGTTCATTCTGTCCTACACAAGAATCTCTCTACTGTGCCGTTACTCAATCACTGTACATCTGGCTGGTTTGACCTTGGTATGTCTCATCAGCGGAGGTCGGAGCAACTAACTGAACTAGAGTTTTCTCATCAAAAGTTTGGAAGAATTACAGGACACATCTGAAGGTTGCAGAACCGAAAACAACATGGCCAACTATGGCAAGGGAGACGGAAAAGTGCATTATTTCTACAAACAAACCGTGTTACCTGCCTGTGTCGACCTGCTTGCCTCTTTTGTGCGCAGCAGAGCTTGAATGGACAAAGTCTGTATGCAACAAAGTGAAAACCATAGAGACAACTTTCATTTTAAAACAAGAACGGGTGCAAGTAGATGAACTTGCCAGGGGTGATTCGCATTTGCAAAGTCATCTTCCATTGCCAGAGTGGTGAACTCCACACTGCGCTTGGTTCAACGAAGTTTCATTTATGTATAAGGGCTTCCTGCGTGCTAGCTTTTATATCAAGTGTGTGGGTTACAGTGAGGGCTGCGTCCCACCGGCGTGTGTAGATTCACAGGAAGCGTGAGTTTCGAAGTCTGAAGAAAATGTTATCAAAAAGCTTAATGGTAGAACATCGCTGTCCATAAGCGAGAGACCCTGGCTTACGTCCTTGTGAAGACAGTCAATTATTTCTTCAGACTTTTCCCGTTTACATCTTTCCTTCAAAGCTATAAATATTATACAAACCTTGGCGGTCAAGATTCACTGTGGCGGGCTAAAGTAATATGAAAATGTGTGAAAGCTAGATGGGGATTTGGACGAAAAGATTTTATTCAAATTGCAACACTCTAAAACTGACTTGGGCTTGTAAGGTGACACTATCCTCTGGAGATGGGACGCGAAGACCCGTCTGCGTGTCTTCAAACATTTGGTTGATTTGGATTCTGAAGGTTGTGTTGTGCCTATCGCTTAGTGGTTCGATCCCCAGAAGGTGTCACCAGACTTTTCGTCTGCTCAAGTCAGTCTAGTGTTTCAAATTCAATAAAAGGTTCATGTATGCGAGACTGACAATTGTTGGTTTAGATGTACACACGCACACGCGCACGTACACACACACCATTGGACCATTGGACGCCCATCGCAGGAAGCGATGATAGCGATGCTACCGCCGAAGCCATAGCAGCTTGTGCTGGGATTGCACCATTCAACAGCTTGCAAGGCTGAAGAATTGACCGCCACTATTCAGCCTGGTCTACACCACACAGCTATGAAGTGGTTTTTCACACACACACACACACACACACACACACACACACACACACACACACACACACACACACACACACACACACACACACACACTGGATCGGCTACAAGTCATGCAGAATCGGGCGGCAAGGGCGGTTTTCGGACTCTCGCATCACACCTCCGCGCGTACCCTCCTGCTGCAATTGGACACCTACAGAGTATCCGAGATATTCAGGCAGAAGTTCATCGTTCTAGTCTGGAGGTCTCGGAATGAGCACGCAAGTTCTGAACTGCAAGCCCTCCTAGTTCCTTCGGCAGCTGGCCCAACTAGGTTGCACTCCACCATGGGTCTGCGCCAACCGCCAGTTTCCACCAGGTTCGGCAAGGGTTGCCTCGCGTTCCGGGGCGCCCAGCTGTGGAACACATTACCCAGCGATATACGTGCCATCTCCACGCTCCGCCAGTTCCGCGCCAGCATGATCCCGCACACACTTACTGGCCTTAGTACCTAGAGTACCAGACGTCCTGTTTGATGATCAGCTGGCTTAGTTTTTCTCCACCTCTATCCTAATTACATCAGTCCCCAATTTCATTTATTACTGCTTTCTATCTGCATTCGCCACCTTTTCATTGGG